CTATCTGTCCGAATGTCGGCTCTATTATCCTAAACAACGCCAAAGTCATCGACGACTTCCCGGCGCCCGTCCGGCCGACTATTCCCACCTTTTCTCCCGACTCTACCCTGAAGTTCAAGTTCTTGAGCACCGGTTCGAGTCCTCGTCTATAGGAAGCGCTATAATCGATGAACTCTATGGAAGCACTTCGGGGCCAAAGATCAGAGGGTTTGTTAGCATCCGTTGATTCCCAACTATATTCCGGATCCAATTGCGAGTACTCTCTAACTCTCTCCAAGCAAACCATTTCCGTCTCGAGGGTACCGACCATTCGTAGAGCCCATGAAATGTTTCCGATCACATTCACTGAGTAGATGAGCACAAAACCGGCAAATCCAGGGCTTATGTTATCCCTCTCTAACACCACATACAATGAGGTGGAGAATGAGACTAATAGCCCTATAATTGTGGTCCAGATATTAAGCCTAAACGCAATACAAAACAGGGCGTAAGAAATGTTTACTTTTATCCGATCCATACTAACCATATCTCTGTAGTGGAGAGATGTTTTTGGATATTAACGTTGACATCGATATAATTGTGTAACTTTTCGGTAAACAATTGGTGCACTTTGTAGACACGGATAGAGACGGCACCGGAAATGCTTTCATTGAAGTGACTATAAATCGGTGACCGAGTGATGGAGTTTAAGCGATTTAATTGCCTCGAAGTCCACAAATAGATTCTCTAAAATAAATTAATTAAACATAAACTAGAAATATATAAAAACTATTTTCTTATATCTCACATAAATCATAATGAATACAATGACGATAATCAGTATAAGGACAGTCATATAGGCGTTCATGTATATAACGAGTGCCACGATATACAAGAATTTAATGGCTTGAAACAGGACTTCACTCAAACACCAGGGTATTCGTGTGTCTATCTGCTCGACGTCGCGATTAAATCGGTTTATGATTCGTCCGGAAGGGGTGACATCGAAGAAGGACAGAGGGGTTCGCAGAATACAAGACAACATGTCTTTGTGGAGCACTCCGGCGGCGATTACGGCGCCCGTCCTCTGCACCATGAAAAAGATGAGGACAAACATGGCTTCCGATACAATGGCCGACAGATAGACACTTAAGTAGAAATTGTTGTCCACTTGTGTTGAGTTGTGTGTCGTCCAGATGTTGAGCCAGAAGTTGGCCCCGACTTCGCACGCGTTGAATAGAAAGGCACTCATGAGTGGGATTAATGTGTAGATTAGGGGAATTCGTCGCAAATAATCCAAATATACACTCATTTTAATGGATCCGAAATTTTCTGTCTCTTTATCAATGAGTTGACTATTTTTGACTTCACTTTCGGTTACCTTTTGCTCATTTTCTCGAGTCATTGAAATTTGTCTCAATACCTGTGCCGCGGATTCACTTTCACTGACTCGAGAGGTCTGTCTTGACATCTGATGCCCACTTCCTTTGGACTGATTGTCCGACTCATTGAACTCGTGGTCGGAAAGCACTCCCCTCTCAGCCAACTCGTCATAACCGCCCGACTCAACAACCCTTCCCTCACTCAACACCAGTATGTGATCG